ATGGTATCCAGAAGTTGCCCTGGCCGAGCCAATCTCCTGACATGAACCCCATCGAAAACCTCTGGGCCATACTCGACCGGCAAGTCAAGAAACAACCAAAAAACCATCTTCAAAGAGCGAGATACTTCAAGTTTTGAAGCAAGAGTGAGCAAAAATCCCACAATCTAAAATTGATGAGATGATTCTAACGATGCCCCAAAGGATCAATGAACTCCACGAAGCGAAAGGAAGATCTACTAGATATTAATTAAATTATAAATATATCAATTCATGTGAATATGACTGAAAAATTTCATTTTTTTCTGAAAAGGTGGTGTCTATTTACTTGTGACCACGCTGTGTATATATACATTCAAGCTACAAGTTTTTTTATAAAACAGATTACATCAAAAGGAACGATAGCATGAATTTTACAATGCATATCCAAACCTCAGATGAAATATAATAAAATGTCATTTTATGGAGAGAGAGGAAAGAAAAAAACAACAAAAACACAGCCTCGAAACAAACATCCAACACCATAGCACAAATCATAAAGTGGGTCATTATGTAATGTGCCCTGATTTTTTTCTGAGGTACTGGTGGAAATAAGACCCATATTGTATTGGGGTACACCATCTATCCAGTTTAACCTCAACTTTGCTGACCTCACATATTTACCATAGACAGTGTACCCCTAATATAATATGGGTCTTATTTACACTAGTACCTCAAAAAACAAGGGCACATTACATAATGACCCACCTTATGATTTGTGCCACTGTATTGGATGTTTGTTTTGTGGCTGTGTTTTTTTTTCCCTCTGCATAAAATTACAATTAGTTATATATATATTACGGCCTCTTAAAACCATCCAGGAAATATGATTTATAGTGATAAGATTGCTTAATACAAGATAAATTTGGAACTGAAGTAAATATTTAATTTGTTTCATAAATACTTGTCTCATTAAAATCCAGTAGTTCATTTTTCAGCAGTTTTGAATCATTAGTCAAATTTCCAAACAAATTTCATTTTCCTAGTCAATGCCCATATTTGACCAGGGAATTTACAAATTTATTTTTGCAGGAAAAAATCTAATTGGTGGCTGCAAATGCTTGAAAGTATGACCAATTCCTTTTGTATTTTTTCGATGGAAGCAACTTAAGAAGGATTAAAAAAAAACTAACAACTAAGAATCTGGCCTCTTACATTTGCTCCTGATGTATTCCACACATTTTAACCATTTTTCACATTCCTGTTACAAACTTTCATAATGATTGCTAGATTCTTATTATTACCAAAAAACATATCAAATTCTACTTTGAAATGCAGATTTATACATATTCTGCTTCTATAATTTCAGAGCAAGGAACATTTATCAATATTTTCATATGTAAAAAAGTTCCATTAATTTTGATGCTAAGAAGTGGATAGTATCATAACACATCGACCAGAAGTAGCCTAAAAATTAAGAACATAAATATACATAACAGTAAAGGTGCTGAAAACAGAAAATTCACTACTCAGCTATACCCTACTTTCTGAATGCTACACTAGTTGTTTAAATCTTTTTTACAGCTTCACATGTAATTTGACCATTTATGTTGAGTAAGCACATAAAAAACAAAATGATATAACAAGACAGTAAACTTCCTCTTTTTTTTATCAATTATCTTAACCTAGATTGGAATTCTTATTAACCCTTTCACTAACAGCCTTGATTTTCCTCCTTCTTATAGTAAAGTTCTAAAACCCAGCAAGTAAAAAAACAAGAGATCAAGAGGACATAAAACAACAGCAAGAAACAATAAAGCTCAGCAAGCTACTTCCAGTGCACTGATATTTTGATTTCAGTTTTACTTTTTAACCTACTAAGAAATTACTGATAAGTAGCATTATGTAGATCATTGAAATTTTTTATAATGCTCTAGTTTTTAATATACATTTATATATTTACAGCAACTGCAAATGTCTCACCCCAATAGTAAACATATGAAAGTAATATTATATACACTGGGTCTCCGTTATACATTGAATCACTTTGTGTCATTTCATTTTTACAGCATTCATTAATTACTACCCATGTATCAAACGACATTGCCCTATTTCATTACTAGAGTGTTTCAATGTCGTCACTACTTTTCTAGGTGTAGCATTTACCAATTACTACCCATGTATCAAACGACATTGCCCTATTTCATTACTAGAGTGTTTCAACGTCGTCACTACTTTTCTAGGTGTAGCATTTACCAATTACTACCCATGTATCAAACGACATTGCCCTATTTCATTACTAGAGTGTTTCAACGTCGTCACTACTTTTCTAGGTGTAGCATTTACCAATTACTACTCATGTATCAAACAACATTGCCCTATTTCATTACTAGAGTGTTTCAACGTCGTCATTACTTTTCTAGGTGTAGCATTTACCAATATTTTTGAAACAGTGTCGCTTTGTTTTATTATTAGTGTTAAAACATTGTTGGACTACCTTATCAGGCATAGTGTTCCCCAATTACTGTACAGTACTGTACTACCAATATATGTGTGTGTGAAGAAACGTTGCCATGTTCCACTACTAGAGCGTGCCAATGTTGTCAGACTAGTTTATTGGGTAGTGTGTGATACATCATCCACTGGCCAAGATGGTAGAGGATCTAAACATGTTGTGTTTGTGTGCCATTTTCTGAGTACGTTATTTTTCTTCTGCAGAAAAGCCATGTTATAACATATAAAGGGGACCCTTGTACTTTGATGTGATAGTAACTAATCACCTTTTAACTTCCAGAAAAGATCATGTGATATTTTACAAAGTCATTGAAATGATCCAAGTACTATTAGCAAAATTTGGCTGAACTTATTCACTTAGCTTTCATTCCCATACCCTTACTTTTCCTTAAGTCATAAACCTGTTGTAGATGTCACTACTGCTGTCACGTGACACCATTCCTGTATATCATAAAACATTGTGTCATTTGTATATTTTATATCTGTGTGTATGTGTGTATATATATATTTATTTGTACATAAACCATGTGTCAGTCAATTTCCTATACAAAATTTGAAACTATATTTTTACATAAATCATACACTTCTTCTATACTTCAATATTACTTTGTTCTACTTTTTTTGTTTGAAACTGTATATACATTTTTTAAAGTATTTTAAAATATACCATAACATGTCTAAGCACATGGAGCCTCCATTCTGGGAACATTTGTCCAGGAAGCCTCATCAAGGCTTGAAGACATTCTGTTGTCACTATTTGAGTTACAGCCACTGCCCACTGAGACTTCTGTTCATTGGTTACTTTTCCAACATTAAAATTTTGGATATCTGTTGACTGTTACGAAATAAAAGAAACATTTTACTTTCAAACTAAACAACACAGAAATTTTATGTTTGGTTAAAACAGTTTTTGAATTATATATGTTTTCTGAATACTTAACATACATACTAATATGATCATTCTCACTAAGTTGCACATTTAACTTCTGTTAAGGATAACATGAAAAAGTTGCAATAATACTGAACAAAATGCAACAGAGACATGCTTCTTACCAGGTAAGGGAGAAGGTGCACTTAGTATACTTCGATTTTTTTCCTTCTCACAATGATTTAGTTTTTCTATCATTTTTCAGGTTCTTAAATTTCTACAATTATGTTATGATAAAACATCAGAATACTTTCATTTGTCTTAAAATTTCATCTTCATTATTGATAAACAGAAATTTCAATTTTATATATCTAATCACCTTCAAAGTTATAATTTTCCCATACTGAAAATGTATTTTTGATAGGTATTCACCTATTCTCACATAAATAGCTATTCTCGTTCAGTGCTGCCCTCTATATGCAAAATTTGTTTCCATATGTTATAAGCCTTTTATCTCTCCTCCATTGGAATTGACTGATTTCAATGCGTCTCACATGCAACAACCCCCCACCAATAAGAGTGCAACATACTCTCATGATTGCATGTGGCTCCCTCTATTCAAATCTACCAAACTATCATTTTGAGTTTTGGCAGAAGATGGAAGTACCAGTTTTCAGTGGGGAAGAAGGGTGGGAAGTGTGAGGGGAAGTAAGCACCTATCAGAAATAGATTTTCAATGTAGGAAAATTATAACTTCCAATATGGTACATTACCTCCACTCACATAAATAGTTAGAATTCCACATTGAATAGGTGGAGGGACCGGTGCGAGGGAAAGAAAGAAGCAACCTCCAAGTGTCCAAAAGAAACTCTCTAAGATGAGACAGACAGATTCTAAGATCTGATGTGAGGAACTGTACTACATCTGAACCAGGTATACTCTTCGCATATCATAGAAAGATGTCGCATACATAGGTAGAAAACAGAGGAGCACTTCCAATTGGAGAAAACTATAGCCACCAAGTGATCTGAACCATGTAATATTAAGAAACTCAATCCCAGAAATGATAAAAGTGGGTAAAAAAAAAGTATATGCCCTTAGGTTTAAAGTGGCTATGGCATGATGAACCATACACGGCAAGTCAACTTCAATCCAATACCCAGGCCACCATGAGCCAACATCCATGTGGGGGTAGGAAAGAGGATCATACCGGTGGGAAGTCAACTACAATCCAAAACCAAGGGTAGGAAAAAGGATCATACCATCTTCACCTGAAGTTCATGAGACCAGAGGGAATCTAGTACCCCCGCAACTCATGAATGGGGCACATGTGAATATGATAAGTTGATACATTGATCCAGGAACCCGACATTCGAGATCAAAAAGATGTCTACATAATGTAAAACATCTGCCTCAAAATTGAAATTGACCAGAACCATCCAAAGTGCATTAACATCCTCAGAATGAAAAACATCAAGGGATAGTGGAAAAGAAAAAAACCGTAACAATCCGCAATTATCTTCACCATGACCCACAACATTGATTGAGTATAAATGAGGGAGAAATATAGACATCTGTAATAAATGTGTGAAGATTAATGTTGATTGGTTCTACTCTAAATCCAAAACCTAGCCAATGAGAACAGATATCCACTTGGGGTAGGATAAGGGATCCCAATCAAAGGGGTGAACAGCAATTTTGATGTCTCACTCCCATTCGTTTTTATGTTTCATATTGGAGGATATCTACACCAACAGAACACCACAGCCCTACTCTCAACTGAATGTTTTTTTTTAATCATTTCTATATTATGTTTGTATTTCATTAACTCATTCAGGAGGATGCAACTATGGTCCACCACACTAGCAGTTTGGAACTGGAAATTTGTAAGGACTCCCAAACTTCACTAGAAGAGGGGGGGGGGGGTAAAACACAGTTAGAGGGTCGGAAGGAATGACAACACCTGAGACAGTGCAATAGGTGACCACAAAAACCTATTATGAAAAGCAAACCATACTGATTTATTCAATACAAGGCATGGCACGGATGGGCAGCTATCCCCTTCTGCTTTGCCCATGTAGTCCATGGGTGGGTATGGTCCGGAAAGGGCAAATTTATGAAGCAATTCTATCGCAAGGATAAACCTACAAGCGATCTTGTGGAACAACCCATCTCTGCAGTGTGCATTGCATGGCCATGGAATTATAATATGTAAGTCAACATAGCTTGACAGTGCAGATTTGAAAAGTTAGAGAATACCTGGTCAGGTACCAATTGCCACGGAGCGGGATCCAAACAACGAACATTAGTAAAAGTGAACAGGGCCTCTGAAAAGGAAAAATAATAATAAAAAAAACTTACCCAGTCAATGAGAAAATATGTAGAAGGATAAAGAGTATATGAAACATCAATAACAGACCACCAACGTCCATGGGTGAATAGAAGAAGGAAGGAAGGAAGACATAAGGGAAGGTGAAACAAGGAGTAGGCAATGTGAGGCAGTGCAGGATCACATTAATATCCCATCTGGAAGGGAAGCACACCACAGCAGATGACAAATCTCGGAAGAATACATCCACAGGTAAAGTGTATTACAGAGAAATACCTGCAGGATTGGGAAAAATGAAAGGTGAGGGACATGACCACCTGAAAATCCAAGACTGAGGAGACAGAAAAACCCTGATACAAAAGTCAATAGAGGAAATCTGCTTGGCAAAGAACAGTGGGATGACTAAGGAAAAACCCTGGACCCAGAAACCAATGACAAAAAAAAAATACCATTTGCGTAGAGAAACTTCCATGTAGGAAGGGCAAATGAAACAAGCCAGAAATGAGGCTAACCATTGGGAGAAGACAGATCACCTCACCAATGACCAGAGGAAAACTAGGCATGAAGACCAGTGACTGAGGGTGGCAAAGAAGGGACAGATACAGAGGAAAAGATAATGGAGGAGGAAGTTGGAGCTGGAGAAGCTACAGCTGAGATGGCCAGGAAAGAGCTATCAGAAGGACTGGACATGGAGTGTCAATGAACGAAATCATCAGGAGAATGGGATGGTTAGACAAATATGTAGGTCCAATCCTGATTGAAAACATTGATAGCCAGAGCAAGAAGAGGAGGAAACAGAGACCAAAACCAAGGCAATTTGTGGTTAAGGGATGTAGCAAAAGCCTAAATGTGAGGAGTACCCCACCAAAGTCAAAGCCACTAAAAAACAAATGGATTGAGAGACCACTTTGTCAGATAAATGTTGTCTGGACAGAAATCCACTCCACGACAAGAGCAAAAGCACCCAGAACATGACATGCAACTATATAAGTATCAAGCATGTGGGTCCAAAAAGAAGATCCAAATATGAATACAGGAGGAAGGACAACAGATGTTGCCCTGGTGATTGAGATAAGCAACAAATGAAGAAAAGCCAGAATTGATCATTACCAGACAATTTCTGGCCAGATACAGAAAATGAACTAAACACAACGTACAGGAAGAAACTCCAGGGTACTGATAGGATAAGACATCTCAACCACTGACCAAAACCCTGAATCTTCCAGTTGATCAACCCACGTCCCCCATCCTCAAAGGGATGTATTCATGAAATGTGGAAAACCAGATGAAGATAAGGAAGCGGGGTACCTGTGAGTCATATCTAACCACCAACGCTAATCAACAACAAGGGTAGGAGGAAGGGTAATAAGAGCTGACAAAGGATCCCTGCAAATTCCACTGGTGGTGAACAGTCCAGGAAAGAGCTCACATATGAGCCTGACCAAAAAGGCTAAGGCTACCATGGAAGATCACATCACCAAAAGCGATAGAATTTTTCAAGCTGTAATTGAACTGAAAACCCATCGAACTAAGTTCAAGAGGAGAAGGGCAGTCCCAACTGAGATGTGTGTGGAAAAAGAAAAAATACTTAAATGGACAAGATATTGGATAAGCCACAGTATGGACTTCTCCAATTTGATTAAAAGCCCATTATAGCCAACTCCAGAAGCAGCTAATAAGAGCAACAGATGGACTCCTGTTCGGAACGAGTGAATAGTAGCCAGTCGACCAAAGAAAGAGGAAAGTGCAACTGAAGAGCATATAAATGATGAACGAATGCTCTGAATGCCCGATAAAACATACAGGGCTAAAGAAAGTCTGAATGGCATTGCACAAAACAGAGAAACCACCCCTTGGAGAATAAACCAAAGTGAGGATTGTGAGTAACAAAATATCGGGATATGCAAAGGAGCATTGCAACATTCCTCTTTGTCATCGATAAACCTGGAGAAAAAGCTAACCTCAGGATGAGAAACAACTCCAAGGAAAAAAGGTGGCAGAATGAAAATTAGAATGAGGTGGGACAAACCTAGTACAGAGTGCCAGTCTCCAGTTTGGCACAAGGATAACAAACAGCATGGAGAAAGATGATGAACACGTGCAATGGCCTGTAGAGATGGAAAGTTTTGTATCACCTCGGACAGATGCAGGCTGGTGGCAGGATCCCAAGTCATGGGAAAAAGGTACCAGGAACAAAGGAAGTGGGGAAAGTAATTAGATGAAAAGTCCCTCTGATAAAACCCTAAGAACCTGTGGAACTGTAGCAAAAGATTGCCAAAGGATAACAATATAATATAGTCAAGCTCGCACTGGACCGGAACCCTCTGGTTAGTCTCCAGTACGGTTGGTGACATGACCAACAGCATTAAATAATACAACGAGATGAGAAACCCCTGGAATGGGGACAGAGACAGGTAGATAAGGGTCAGGATGGGAAAGGAATAGGGGTGTGTCATGGCTCCAACTGCTACAAACATGCAACCAAAGAGGAAAGGTTCGAGTGTTCATGCATAGATTACACATGAGATTCCCAAGTCATAGATATATGACTGAAAACACATCACCAAAGAAAAATACAGAAATCCTGAAAAAAAAGGTGTAAAAGTACCTGGGACAAGATTGCATCGTGACGAAGAAAATACCAAGGTTTGGCTTGTTCAGGTGGATTAGTGGTTCACCCATATAATGATCAATCTCTTGATGGATAATAGCAGAGCAATTCAAGGACTGGTCTCCTTCACATGCAGCCTGTGAAAATAATGCTAGAAGTAGAACACCCGAAGTGGGAACATAAATCTCAGAATTTATTGTATAAATACATAAATCTCAGAATTTATTGTATAAATACATAAATCAAACAAAAAGTGTTTGATGTAAAATACGCGAGAGTGAGAAAAAAAATTAAGACTTCAAAATTAAGGTAAATTAAAAGAAAAAAATAATAATGACGAAATCCCACTTCGATAATTAAACTATGAAAATCACGATTCACATGAAGAGCATCAAAAGAAAAAACATTTGAACATGAGTATTGTTAAACGAGAAGTGATAGTTCAGTAGAATTGAATACAGAGAGCCACATGCATCATGAGAGTAAGTCACACTCTTATTGGTGGAGGGTTATGACATGATGATTTGCATTTGAGATGCATTGGAATCAGTCAATTCAAATGGAGGGGAAATAGAAGGCTTGTGGTATTTGTAAAAAACTGTTTTTGCATATAGAGGGCAGCACTGAACGAGAATAGCCATTTATGTGAGAGGAGGTAATGTACTGTATCAGAATACAATAGTCATTTCTTCCAGTTAGAAAATCAATCATAAAATACATTGCAGAGACTGACAAATATTTATTAGTGACATAAAACCTGACCTTTAAAAATAGCAGTAAGTTGGAATATTTAATGAATATTTTGCTAATAATAATAACTCTTGAAACAGAAGGAAAATCATGAGTGAAACACAACTTGGTTAATTGTATTCTCAAGGAAAAATATTGTTTTAGCAAATAAAAACATATGCATTGGGATGGGCAGAAAAATTCTAAAACAATAAAAGCATTGTTTAGATGCAAGCCTCATCAGAGAAATGTATGAACATCTTTTTTTACATTTTCCTTCCTGAATTAAACAACATAAGTTATACAAAATGACAAAATATCAATTCTAAAATATTTTTGAGTAAAGAAACTTTTGAAATAGAGTTATAAATATTTTATTTGCTTACATTATGAAATTTCATAATTAGGTGTGTGCTCCACACCAGATGTGCTCACCTTGATAACACATACACACACACACAATAAGAGTTGTACAAATATAACCAAATTAATAAAAGCACGTACTGTTTCCAATAGCCAAGGAAGTGATAAGATGAAACAGGCCTTCTGTTGTATTTCCACATTCAAGTCTTCATTGTCTGAAAATACAATAAAAAACAACATGAATTTCAACAAATAATTAAACTAAATTATTATAATTTAATGTGCATACTACATAGTTTTTGGTATCAGCCCAAAGTTTAATCTACTGATAGTTATAATAGTAATATAAGCTACAGACTTTTCATAGAGAATTTGAGAAGCCAATAAAAACAGCAACATAGTTTATTTGTATATCAGAATTATAATCAGGGCTCGAAATTAGCAGGAGCCTGGGACACAATAGCCCCCAAGAATGCTAGTGGGCCTGTAAAAAGTGTCTGCTAGGTAGCCCACGTGGCCCCTTAAAATCAGAAGAGCCATTAAAAGTTTGACTTCACGTAAATTGATCTAAGCATTTCTTAACTGAACAGATCTTATGGCAAAACATGAATGGACTTTTCTAAATTTACAAACAATCCTCAGTCATGTACAATCCACAAACATCATCACTATGAATGTCCATGTATTCATAATAAACACACTTTCATTAATAAGAATGCCATCACTTTGTTCAATGTTCAAACTTTTTGTATCAGTGTAATAAAATTGATATATAAAACTGTCATTTATAACATTTGAAATATAGAGTGATTATTTGATTTGTTTGTTTGTTTGTAATTAAGCACAAAGCAACACAATGGGCTATCTGTGCTCTGTACACCAAAGGTATCGAAACCCAGTTTCTAGCATTGTAAGTCTACTGGCATATCTCTGTGCCACTGGGGGGCATGTGATTATTTGAACTTTTATAAAAATGACTATTGTTTTCAATCAGAATGCTACTTTTTTAACTTTTTATATATGACACCAAGCCTGCATCACACATTTAAAATATGTACACACAAGTTGTTTTTCATCAACATTTTCCAAAAACAGCCAAGTAAAAATTGCAAGTTTGTAAGTTGTTTGGAGAATCTACCTTACTGCATGTTCATTGTTTGTACATGTTAGGGCAAACACTTTTAAATCCAACTTTGCAGACCGCACTAGCCAAAAATAAAACTAAAAAATATTACTGGTTTACCGATCATGTCACAATAAAAAATCACCAACTGCCAATAATTATAGCACACAATGGGCCATTTCTGATTATGTACAGTAAAGCTGACAATGTCATTGTGTAGTATTGTTTAGTTTAACCTTAAAAACTGTGACGATTACAGAGAATGTACTTTGAAGCTTCATTATATTTTAAATGGTTGAATTTATCAAGAAATGTGCCAAGTTGAACAAAAAAATGCAACCTGCCTAACTAATGAATGAATATTTGCTGTCAAATATTTATCAATGCTATAAGTGTAGCTACCAGTTCAGCCATCAATTTTGATTTCATTACTTTAAGTTGCATGCTCAATCCTTTTTTTTTGGCCACACCTTAATGTTTTTGATTAGGTTTAATAATAATGGGACTGGTAAGTGATGAAATGGAGTGTTCCATAGGTGTCTAATAGGTTAATTATTTTGTAAATATTTGTTTACACCTGTTTACCGCTTATAGTGCCATCTCCGAAAATGACATGCGCCTTTCAAACAATCCCCCCCCCCCATTGGAAAGTAATGGAACATTTAGCATTTAAAATTTCCGATTGCTCTGTTGTGATGCACTTTTCAGTGAACTCTCCAAACAGAGTTAATACACAGTGCATAACTAATGGAAAGTCACATAACATATCATTCTGAGAACTTAAAGGGGAACAAAAAGTTACTGTTATACCATGCTTTACAGAGAAATTAAAGATCATATATGAAAAAAAAATAATTTAAGTGGTCTGAAAAAAAAATGAAATGGTTTGACTTGATTTTATTTTTCATGAAATACAAGTTCACAATAAACTAAATTGAGATATGTTGATATCTTTAATTTCATTTCAATTTACATAACATCCTCTATTTAATTCAGTGATTTTTCTAATAATTTCTACTAAAGAGTATATTTTACAATGAGCTATAGGATTAGCCCCTAAAACTGCATGTTTGGGACCCCAGCGGCTCCCTAAAAAAAGTTAGGAATGAGACCTGTATAATGCCCTTAACAATTACTATAATAAATCTACAAATTATTATAACTGTAGCTTCTGTAGCAGAGAAAAAATACATATATTTCTAATTTCTATATACATCAGAAACAAAACAACAATATTAAAAAATTTTGTTGTACTTACATTCAAGAAGAATGAAAACTAAAAAATAAACTTATATGAAGATTAAAGTTTCTTAACACCAAACAAAAATAAAACTGAATAATTACTTAAAACTATTGTCTCTAAAATACAAATAAGTTCAACAATGTAAGAATATCCACAACATAAGTAAAACAATATTTATATCTATATTTAAATCAGAATGTGAATATCTTTTAAAACCATGAATTATTAGCAAAGGTGGTCATTTGAATCTCCAATAAACTCTTTCTTCATATGAAATTTAAAGTTACCAATATCAGCAATAAATAGTTTTCTCTCTGAGAAATGTTTTATTCCAACAGCAACAAAAGCATAATAATATTTTATATTCAGATACGGATCAATATTATGATATGTCATCAGCTATCAACTCTCTCACTACGAAGTCGGCTGAATCGACCAACCTCGTAACCACTTTGTACTCATCATAGTTTCCGTACCATAACTTTAAACACAGTATGTGTATCTTCACTAAATTTGTCAGACTTTTAATAAACATTACAAGACATTTTTAAACAAAAAATATGATTTTTTAATGAAGTATTTTCACTAAAGATTTGTCCATGAATATATATATACTTTTTATTTACTATTCCGAATGTAAAGTGATATCCCCATTAAAATTAAAAATTAATTTCTTTGTTTCAAAAATCTCAAATTTCATTTGCATAAGCTCTAAAATCTTCTAAATATATTTCAAATGTTTTTTTAAAGTAAAACTTGATATTTTATCTGTTATTTTCTGTACTCTTAGTCTAGAATGATTTCAAATTGTAACATGAAACTACATTTATTTATCCTAAATAGCTTTAAACTCATAACAGTATACATCTGTTCATACTTAAATTTATTGTTTTATTCCTTTTGAACCGTGTCTAACTATATTTGTGCCATTCTATGTTGTAAATCACTTGGTAAAAGTGCAGCTCACATTATGTTATCAAATTACTTTATGCATGAGCTACTCGCGAGCATACCTCATGAAAAAGTTTATTATATTATTATTATTTATTTTACCTAATCTAACCTAAAAGGTTTCCTATTTTTACATTTTAGTTAATTTTATAATAATAAATACAGAATACACATGAAAAAACAAGAAATAAAGTAAGTACCTAGGCCTTCGTTTTATTTTTGCTGTTGACACTTAACCCTATTTCTATACTAATTGTAGTACTGTACTAAATATTTTTTTATTTAATTAAATAATGCACCAAAGAACAGAATAATAACATGCAAAAAGCAGGCAATATCCCATAACTCTCACAATTATTTTGGCTTTTTAACTATGTGACAAGAGCCATTACAAATTCATCAAAGTTAGTCAATGTGTTTCCAATTGGAAAAAAGCTTGTACTGAAAGTGAAATTGACAATTCTCTGTACAGAAAACAAAATAATACATAATTTGATAAATGAAAACCTTGGCTTTCTATCAGTTATAAATAATATAGTATTGAATGTCAGAGAGAACTATTGGCAGTTTCTGAAATGTGGCAGGAGGGTGTGGCAAGACGCGTCTGATTTTCTATTTGATGGTTCTGTAACCAAATAAGATTGAAGCCTATGAAAATTATGCTTTGCCTGAGCGATATCAACATTATAATGAGTAATTTATGTTAAATTTTGTACTTCTTGGAGTGGTGGTAAATAAATTAGAG